AAGTAACAAGTGATAGGGCAAGAGGAAATGGCCTTAAGCTGCACCAAGAGAGTTTAGATAAGATATCAGGAAAAAATAGTGGTGGTCAGACTTTGGAACAGGGTGCCCAGAGAAGTGGCTGAGTCACCATCCCTGGAGGTATTCAAAAGACATGTAGATGTGGTACTTAGGGACATGGTTTAGTAGTGGACCTGGCATGGTTAGCTTAACAGCTGGACTCAGTGATCTTAAGTGTCTTTTTCAACCTAAAATATTCTGTGATTCTACTGCTGGTAATTATGTGGTGCCGTATTTGAAATTTATATACTGTGGAAGCTAAAAAGCAAACTTCGCTGATCAAGCAAAATAAAATGTGCATTTAAAAGCATAAAAATTAGCAGCTTGGTATATGTTTTATTATTTAAAACTCCATGCTGCTTAATAGAAAACTCTACAGAAGTTAAAAGCAATGGAATGCTTTTCTAAATGAAGTCTTTGCTGACAGTACTAAGCAGGGATTGGGAACATGCTGTTCATGTCTCCTCTGTCATCCAGTGTTAGGTACAGCTTGGACCATTCCTTCTCTAAGTGTAATTTATGTTTGAATCCATTTTGTACTGTACCTACTTGTTATGGGCTGTTGTAACCCACTGCTGAAGGTTCTTGTTAATAATAGGCCGATTGTTTGAGTCATTAACCCTTAACATTTCAGTCTCTCACATGGGCCCTCACCACTGATATTTTAAATTTAGTTTTCTCTAAATAGATCAAGTGTCTGATTTGTCATTGCAGATTCCTGCTGTGCTTATGTGGTTATGTGTCTTGTCTTATTCTTCACATTGGTACAGTGCAAAAAGAGGTTTTTCTCCTTGTATGTGAGCAAGAAACTTCAAGTCCTCCTTCAATGAGCTAGACATTTCACTTTTTATCTTCCACTCTCCACTTGTGAACTAGAAAACTATCAGCCTGTTGTGAGGTACTGTATTTACCATTTTGTTGTTACTTTCTCCTTGCTGTAAAACTAGCTGTTTTATTTGTGATCAGTGAAATAGAGAAAGTTGTAGGTGTTGCAAGTGCCTTGTATATTTTCACTATTGTCTAGATGTGCTTGTGTTTTGTATTTTGAAATATAAGATTTATAGAAACTAAAAGTAAGAGTAAGCTAGCAGCAGTTTCTTCAATGTGTCACAGCTATGATCTGCATCATAGTCAAAAAGCAAGTTACTTGCAAAATTTTGTGTGGTGTTGTGTATGTGCACAGTCATAGGATGCTTTTGTCTAATAATGCAGGTACTGTGCGATGGCCATTTTATTAACTGTGCTCATTTTTATTGCTAGCTCCTTTAGCTCAAGATTCAGGTATTTTGTGTCTGCATGCCACCTGGCCGGCCCCCTGCGTTTGGTGCCCTTTGGTTTTCATGAGATCCTTGTTATTGCAGTATTTGAAATTCTAGAGATAATGATATACTTTTAAAAATGTCTCTTTGAGGCCAGGGAATGCACATATTGCACACTGTGGAACTGAGGCACAGAGGCTGAAAGATTCATCCAGTGCCGTGTAAGAAGCATGTGTCTGCAGGTGATCACCCAGTGATTTTTATCCTCTCCTAATGGAGAGAAGTTCACTGTGCATCATAGAACTCATCCTATGAAAAAAAGTGTCAGGCTTCTGGAATTGGGTTCCACTTGGCTCCTTTTATTTCTGTACAAACTTAGGAATTGGCAGTTTTCTGGCAAGGGAAAATATAAACTGAAAGGTCTGTCTTGATGTCCTTTGTCTAGAGCTTCTAGTTTATGGTCACAGTTACATTAAGCATAATGGACACAAATATAAAGATGCTTCAATTGCACAAATACTTAAAAAATCTGCACAATTCAATAGTACAAATATTGCTGTTATTTGCAGCAGTTTACAGTTATTAAGTCTTGTTCACAACTCCAGAAACATAGCTGTGCCATCTGAACTGAAGGAAACTTCTGACATTTAAGTTTACAGCTTGATGAGCAGTGCAGTTTAGTGGGATGTTCCCTTCAGCACCAAAGCTGACTTAAAAATACTACAGCTGTTATGGCAGTTTGCCGCTCTTTTGGCTGTGGTTGCACAACTGTTGGTAAGCTTTGTGATAATATCGAATCACTAAACTGATGTGGATTAAAAATAACTTTGCAAGAACAAAAGAAATTAGTGATGTTCAACTGGCTCTTTAACTGGTGCAATTTGAAGGTTCAACCCGCATTTGTGGGGTTGTGCTGTGGGGGGTGTAAATAGCAGTGGAGAGGCATAAGAGAAGTAGAATTAATGGAGTGAGACCTTGAGTGCTCTTGAGAAGGTAACGTGAGATTGCTGTTGGTGTTCCTGTAATCTCTTCAGGAGAGAGAAACTTGTTGCTTGATTGCAAGAGCTGTTGCCTTCACCATGTTCCAAGTCTGAATCTCGCTTTCTGTGCCTGTTTGGGCTTTTCCCCTCCTTGTTGCTGCTAGTTGTAGAAAAAGTAGCTACTTTGCTACTCTGTAGCAAAGCCCAAGGTGAGACGGGTGCCTGCCAAGTTGTGAATGGGCTGGATTCTTCTTGGACTGTTTTGTACCCTGAACTTCCCATCCCTCACTATCTGGGAAAGTTATTTGCTTTTTTCTCCTGCTGAGTGTATTTTTGAAAGAAGTTCTTGGCCTGAGTACCAGTGTGAGTCAGCTAAATGCCAGAGGATGCATCCATGCAGGTAAATGATAGCTTAACTACAAGGGAGCTTGTAGTGGGTTGGCTCTTGGATTTTTTAGGCCTTCCTTAGCAATGGAGTCAGAAATCTAAGGAAGTATTCCATATCATCTCTTTCTGTAACAGAACATATAAAAAGGCACAGATAAGAGAGTTCGCTCTCTTCTCTCTTCCAGTGGCTGAAGGTGACAGGTCTCTCCATAGACGGGCTTTGCTTGTATAGGCCAGGGCCTGCCTGCTCAGACCTGCCGTTATCTCCGGTCCCTCCAGGAGGCGTGGGGAAGTTGGCTGCTGCCTCGAGCAGTTCTGCTGTCCCGTTCAGGGAAGTATTTAATCCATTTTTTTGTGCTTATCCACAAACTCTCTATTAACGGGCGTATTTGGAGGATATTTGTTTTTAGTTTTTATCCCTGTTTCCCCACCCCTTTTCCCTTTTTCCCCCTCGGGAGCTCCCTATTGTATGTACAATATATATATTCAAATAATATATATAATTGTAAATATATATTTTTTATATAATCCAGTTGATTTCGGTTTCTCTCAGTTTGTATAATTTTTTTTTCCTTTCCTCTCTTTGCCCAAAGGGGGAGGGAAGGCAGGGGCTTTCACTGAGCATTTGAAGACTTGGCAGGAAGCCAGCTCAAACTTGCTCAGAGCTACAGGCCAGTTAGTCTCACCTCTGTGCCTAGCAAGATCATGGCGTAGATCCTCCTGGAAACTATGCTCAGGCATGTGGAAAATAAGGAGGTGATTGGTTCCAGCCAACTTGGCTTCACTAGGGTAAATTGTGCCTGAAAATTTGATGGCATTCTACAATGGTGTAATGGAATGAGTGGTTAAAAGAAGAGCAACTGACACTCAAAACATTTAACACTGTCCCATATGACATCCTTGTTTCTAAACTGAAGAGACATGGATTTGGTGGATAAAGTTCACACTCAAGAGTTACAGTCAAAGGCTCAGTGTGCAAATGGAGGCCAGTGATGAGTGGCGTCCTCGGGTATTGGTATTGGGACTGGCACTGCTTAGCATCTTTGCAACATGGATGGTGGGATCAACTGCATCCTCAGCAAGTGTGCCAACAACACCAACTGGGTGGTGTGGTCAACATCCTGGAAGGAAGGGATGTCATCTAGTAGGATGCTTAAGAACCTCATGTGAAGCTCATGAAATTCAACAATACCAAGTGCAAGGTCCTGCACCTGGGTTGGGGCAATCCCAAGCACAAATACAGGCTGGGTGGAGAATGGATTGAGAGTAACCCTGAAGAGAAGAACATTGGGGTACTGGTGGATGAGAAGCTGGACATGAGCCACCAGTGTGCACTTGCAGCCCAAGGGCCAACCACATCCTGGGCAGCATCAAAGCAGCATGGCCAGCAGAGTGAGAGAGGGGATTTTGCCCTCTACTCTGTTCTGGTGAGACCCCACCTGGAATGCTATGTCCAGCTCGGGGTGGGGGGGGGGCAACAAGGGCACAGACCTGTTGAGCAAGTCCAAAGGAAGGCCACAAAGATGATGAGAGTGTTGGAGCACCTCTCCTATGAAGACAAGCTGAATGGGGATGTTCAGCCTAGAGAAGAGAAGGCTTCAGGAAGACCTTAGAGCAGTCTGCAGTCTTCTAGTACATAAAGGGAGCCTGTAAGAAAGCTGATGAGGGACTTCTGATAATGACCTGTAGTGATAGGACAAGGGAGAATGGCTTTAAACTGAAAGAGGGTAGATTTACATTAGATATCATGAAAAAATTCTTTATTGTGAAGGTGATGAGAAACCGGAACAAGTTGCGTAGAGAAATTGTGGATGCTCTATCCCTGAAAGTATTCAGGGTGAGGTTGGATGGGGCACCGAGCAATGTGGTCTAGTGGCCAGGGGAGTTGGAACTAGGTGATCCATAAGGTTCCTTCCAACCCAAACAATTCTATGATTTTGTGATTAATTGTAGCAGGAGTGTGCCTGTCACTTTGCAGGTCTCAGCGTAGCTATTGCCAGCAGCAGCAGCTGGGGGAGCAGAGAGATACCAAGGGTGGCAACCTGATGGGAGTCCCAGCCCTCTACTGAGGCTGGTCTGTGCTGGCCTCTGTTCTGTGTTTGCTGCTTTTGCTGACTGCCATGTGCAGAAAGGTTTCCCAGTGTTGGAATGGTACTTCCATTTAATTATGTAAACTCTTGTGAAGTCTCCTGCCGTTAGCCACTAGACCATGAGAGCAAATAAGTCTTTCCTCTTGGATTCATTACAAACTGTTTTTTCTTCTCCAAATGTAAGTTTGATTTTTTTTTTTCAGTTCATGAAGAGGACTAAGTGAACGAGATAGCATGTCTAAGACTGCGTTTTCCTCATTACTGATGGCAATAGTAGAGTCACAGGCTGTGAGTCAAATGGTTTGGTTTTGGGGGTTTTTTGTGTTTTTTTTAAGTTTACGGAAGATTTTTCCTGGTCTCTGAGTGATTTGGAGCACAGTTTATCATCTGCTAGCTTACAGAATTTGGGAAATGTGTTTTCTTTGTTTGCCTTTTTTTCCCTGCAAGCAAACTCAGTTGTTGGTAAAACATTCTAAGCACTCATGACCCAGAGAAACTGGAAGCAGCCAAGTTTTCATTTGGGTAATGTACAAATCCATTGCAGTCATCACTGCTGCCTATCTCCAATTAGAAGATTAATGAAGTTATTTACTTGGGGCCAAGAGAGCAATCTTCACTGTTACATACCTTCTCTAACCCAAGCTGTAAAATTGTAGGACTATTAAAAAGGAGTTTAAAAATTTGTGGGCTTCCTGTTAGAGCTATATTTGAAAATTTTCAAAGGATTATTGAACTACATGGAAAGATTCTGGGATTTCCTGGTTACTTCTAAGATAACTTTCTGCCTTGAAAGTGTCTGCAAATGCTCTCTCCCTTTTGTACCTAATTAAAGTCTTGGTCTTAATGTGTCATGAGTCAAAGCCTTTCGCTGAGAGTAATGCACTGTTTGTATGAGCCATGCCCAAGTTTACAGCGTGGCGGGTAGCAATACATGGAACCAAAACTGTCTCAAGTAAGAAGACTTAACTTTGTTTTCAGTACTGCTGTTTGGTTCTGACAAAGTTTTTTGGATCACTTTGTTACTTAAAGTTACTTCAGTGTCAAATTTGACATCCACAGCTCAGTCGAGAGATGTGCCAGCTCTCTTATTGCCCTTGGTCTTTAGTGTCTGTTTTTCTTGCTCTAAGGTTTTACAAATTTGAGAGGACTTGTGTACTGATTTTTCTGAATGTACAATATTTTATGCATCATTCTAAGAAAACATTACTAAGAAAATAAATAGTCCTATTCAGACTTTTTTCTTGAGTGTGTTTGCTGACCATATTAGGAAAGGTTTCTCTGAGGATGGAGGGGATAAAATTTACCTTCTATGCTGTTAGAGAGATTGCCATGCAGTGTAGTGTTTTGGTGTATGAGTCAAGGTAAAGATTACTACACCTTTACACTTTTCATAGTGCAAACCATAATCAGCAGATCCACACTTGCAGACGCTGATTGGGGTCTTCTCCGTATTTCTTTGTGATATGTCTGTTCAGAGAGCAGAGGGGACGGCTCTGATTTGTGTGATGTGGAGAGTGCCTCTTACTCAGCTGACCCATCTCCAGTGTTTCTGTGGATACAGCAGTGTTTCTGTGGATAAATAAGTAGTCTGGAAAGAAAAAGTCATGTGTGGCTCAACCTTGCACAAAGGAGCACACCCTTAAGACAAAACTGAGTACACAATTTCTGCCAAAACAGGTGTCTTTGCTTGATTTTGAGTGATGTGGAAGTCAGTATGGATAACTGTATAAGATGTATTGCAGTGCATGAAGACAGACACACACAGAAGCCTTTGAGGTACCAGTACTTTAGTCCTTTATATACCCCACTCCACTTAATGGAAAAGAAACTTCACATTCAGAATGGTAGTGGAAGCTCCTGGGAGGAAAGAGAGATGTCCCACCAAGTTAAGTCACTTTGTTCAACATGAAAACAAAGGAAGTATTATGATGATCTTTTTGGCTAGCAAACAGAAAACCTTCTCATGAGATTCCACAGCTTCTGGTTTTGTTTTTAGTACAAACATGATGATGTAACAAGTCATCTCGTTAAATAATGATACTTGTATGTTTAATGTTATCAGATTTTGTTTACACTATAAACCTTTTTCCAGCTATTCATAGATCACTATAGTAGGACTCTAAAGTATTGCAATGGAAAGAACATTATTATGTATTTCTCAGTGGCAATAGAAATCTAAATTGGAACCTTACTTTGCTGGTCTTTCCACTAGAAATGGTCTGAAACTCCTGGGAATGTGGATGAGTGTGCATCACAGTCTTTCATGATCACTTTTTTTGTGGTTGTTAGATTTCTGCTGAAATTTGTGGTGCTGATTGCATACAGAGATGTGGTGCTGCTGGGACTACTTTTGTCTTCTGGCCTGTCAATTTCTTAGCATACACAGAAAGCAGAGATGGCATTGTTAAAGAGGCGGCTTGGCATCTGTTTTCTAGACAGAAAAACACCCATAGAATATTATTACATGGTGTGCAAATAATGGAATCCAAGCATGAGATAATAAAAGTACCTAAAATTAAAACACATTACCTGTGTAATTTTAAGGTGCCTTCTAAAATTCTGCTGTAACTAGATGAAACAATGAATTTAGGAAAAGTTTTAGTGATGATACTGAGAAGGAAGAGTTTCAGACCTCTTCAATAAAATTATCTATCCAATCAGAAGAACATCTTAAATGACAATGTTAATGGCAAATTGCTTTTGTTTCATTTATATAGGAATACCTACTAAAATGTTCATTGTTGAATTAACTTCTTTTTTTAATATATATATTTTTTTAGAGCCAGGACTAAGGAATGAGTAGTTTATAAATATTGAGGTTAAGATGATTTGTGTACTGCTTCTCATCTGAAATGTATTCTTAAGGATGTTTTATTCAAAGTCTTATGCTTAAGTGTTTGAAAAAAGAAATTCCAACAGTAGGAGGAGCATCCTACTTATTAGCCCTCAAAGCTTTAATTAAGTCCTAAAGTATTGTAAACTGTCATCTTTGCTCAGCCCCAAGCTCTCTGTCTGAAATTATGTAGAACATGGGCAACTAATTTTGACCTGTCTGTGGAGAAATATTTTAATTGTCTGCATATGAAACAGCAGATTCAGTGTACTGTTGTGTTCTCATGCAAAATAGGCAGCGTCTATCTAGACTGGAGTTTTTTTATGGCTGTCCCATGCTTTTGTTTAGTGTTTACAAGGTTACCTCTCTTCCTTTATGTTACTATCCTGATAGAGAACATACCAGGTTTTGTTGTGTGTTGGTGTACATTTAGGTGTGACTTTTGTCATGTGCTTTGCATACACTTGTACTGGAGCCTGAAGTGTTAATGCAAACAGACAGATCCTACCTAGGACTGTATTATTTGACTAGCTGTTTGTAGCAGAGTAGGAAAACTGGAGGTTTTGAGCAATGAATTAACACTTTAAGTCATCTACAGCCCCACAGAGGGCAATACAGCCCCTACAGAGCCTGCAATGAGGGCAGTGTTTCCTTCATTTTTGTCTCTTTACCTCAGCAGACCGGGTTGTTATTATTATCATTATGTGAGCAAGGGCTTCCTGTTGTGCTGTAGTTAGCCAAAAGTGAGCACACAAACCTTCAGGAGAAGAAACACGTTTGAAAGTACTCTTTATAGTTACTCGTTCTCAACTTGGGACTGTGTTCTGTTAGCAGCTGAAGTGATCAATTTCCTTCCCCTTTCCAGTAGTAACCCAGTAAGTCATTAAACTATTCCACTGCTGATTACTCTTCTGACTTTTTCCCTTCTCTTTATAAGTTTATTTATAAAGGGAAATCTGTGACGTGCACTTGGCTCTCTCCTAATTTTAAAAGATACTGTGCTTCCTGTGGGAAGGCTGATAGTGTTGTAAGATGAACTTACTGTGCAACACCAAGAAAGGAGATTGTTATCACTGTGTTTCAGCAATGTACATTAACAGCTTTTTCTTATTGTATGAATAATTAGAAATGTTGTTTATAAAGAAAGAGGGCCATGGTCTGCTCTGCCTTTGGGGACTCCAGTTTCTAGATTTAGCAAGGTTTCTTTGGAACCTGGGCTCCATTGTACTAAAGCACAAACAGAGCATGTCTTACATGTTACTGACCTCTGAGTTTATTTTGGTCTTTTCATACTTTTGAAAAGTGTTTGAACCTACCCAGCTTCTGCTTCACGTGCTTTATGTCACAGAAGTTACAGGAACTCTATAGGGTGGAGGATTGACATGTCAAGACGATTATCTGAGAGCAGTACCCTCTTTGCCTTATTTTCTCTAAAGGAAGAGTTGTGTAAGGATTCCTGCAGTAGTTGTGTACTGCACAGCTCTTCTTTGAATCTGTTCAAGAAAGATCACTGTAGTTTAAGTGCATTTTTGATCAAACTGTGAGTTAGTACAGCCCTAAAGTAGTTGTGCATCATAGGAGCATCCTGCCTTATATTTTTGGTTCTTGAATTTATTTATTTACCTATGGTATAAAAATGATAATTTTAACATCTGTTTGACCATATGTGGAGGTCAATTATTAACTAGTAAGCAGCCTTGAAGTTATGCACAATTACTAAGTACACTTACCTTTATCACTCATCTTGACTCCTCCCAGTTTGCGCATAGACATTGGAGAGACTGCCTGTAAGTCAAAATTGCCCTTTGCATCTTACTACTTGATTCAAGTTTCAGGATTCAAGAAACATGATTCATGTTTCCAAATTTACTATGAAGTTACAATCTGTGACAACAGAAAGTCAGTACCCTTTTGTGTGGTCCCACTGCTCATGTTCCTTTTGTTAGTTTGCTGCACAGGCTTCTTTTCATCCACACTCTGTCCCTCTCAGACATGGAGGAGCTGAACTGGTGAGATCTGTCTGGGTATTCTTTGGGCAAACAAGGGAAGTCCCCGCTAGGGGTAGGTATGTGCTCTGATGCAGATTGAAATGGGTCTTCTGCCTGGTCATAGCTTTTCCATACTTGCCCATGTTTCTTTTATGTGGACAAAGACCCCTCTGACCCTGACTAGCAGTTTTCCCAGTGGCAGCCTTGCCAGTGCCCTAAATCAGCCTTGTGCACAGGGGTCTGCTCAGATGTGCCCCATGCACAGCTGGCAGAAGGCAGACATCAGTGCAGTGTGGATGCAGATGAATCATTGTGAGGAGATGGGCATCTGGGGTATGTGTAACATGGTACCATAAAGAACTGATGTACACTCATAATCTCTATCTGGTTTGGGTCTGTGTGTTTAAGTCATAAAATGAATAGTGAAAGTCTCTAAGTCTCAAGATAAAATGTCTTTAAAACTTTTT